AGTAAACCCACATGGGCCCATCCTCCAGCTTCAAGAACCATCAACATTCTGACATTTCATCCTCTTTCCCCTCCCCGTTGTTTCCAATATTAAAAAGAAAAAATAGAAGAGACAGATATCACATTCATCTAAGTGACAGAATAAGCATCAAAAAGGGGGGGTATATTTCCTTACATAACTACAATGCCTAATCACACTTAACAAAATTAACATATTTCCTTTTTTTAAGTTTATTTTTTTTTTAGTAATCTGTACCCCTAAAGTGGGGCTCAAACACAGGACCCCATGATCAAGAAGTAGCTTGCTCTTCCAACTCTACCAATACATTTCTTATAGCCAGTCCTGATTCTGGCTACATTCATTGTATTTGTTCTTGATTGTGAGATGGGCATGTGACTAGAGCTGGCAGGGTCATGTGACCTTGGCCCGCCAAGGCCCCTCCCAAGGTGGGGACTGAACTCAGGACCCCAAGATCAAGAGTCACACCTCTGTTCTTGTTTTTGTTTTTAATATTTTATTTATTTATTTGAGAGAAAGAATGAGAGAGAGAGAGCATGAGAGGGGGGAGGGTCAGAGGGAGAAGCAGACTCCCCGCTGAGCAGGGAGCCCGATGTGGGACTCGATCCCGGGACTCCAGGATCATGACCTGAGCCGAAGGCAGTCGCTTAACCAACTGAGCAACCCAGGTGCCCTGTTCTTGGTTTTTAATATTCTTATTTACAAACAGTGAAAGTCTAGTGTGTGTGTGTGTGTGTGTGTGTGTGTGCAGTTCTTTGAGTTTGGACAGAAGCAGAGTCATGTTAATGACCATCAGAAAAGCAGGATTCATGAGACTTCTACCACACTCCAAAATGCCACTGGGCTTTGTAGTCATGTGTGTTTGGTTCTTACGTTTCTGTTCTTTTTTTTTTTCCTAACGGAAGAGAAAGCGATAATCAGAGGTGATTTAAGCCCTGAACTTACTTAATAAGATTTCCAAGCAGGGGGTTAGGCAGGAGACCTGAGCTCCAGTCCCACTCTCTCCAGCTTGGGGCCTCCTCTCTCTGGGCCTCAGTTTCCCATCAATAAGGTGGGTGCTCTGAGGACCCGGTGAGTTAGGAAGGTGCTCAGGAAGCTCTCCATAACAGCAGGGGGTCAGTCTGACCTGCCTTTACTTCTTTATTCACAACCCCCTAGACTGAGTCATCTGGTCCAGACACAAGGCCTGCCCAGTGCAGCCAGCACTCCTTGGCCTTTCCCCTCTCTCTCCCCAAGCCAACCAGACACTGTGTTCTGTGGTTTCCACTGTTAATGAGACTGTCAGTGGCGGTGACCACAGGGCCTGTCCCACCTGGGTCCCTGCCTGGCCTCTAGCCTCCCCTTGTTTCCCCTGGAACCCACTCCCCCTTTCCCCCCATTCCTAAATCACACCACACCCTTCTGGATCCAACAGGATATCACAGAGGCCTGCCAAGTGCCCTCATGCCTTATATGACAAAATTATTTCCAGTAATAATCACAAAATGAAACGAACAATATTAATGGCCACACAAAAAATGCAGAGTGAACATTTTCTTTTCTTGAACCCCATGTATATAAAATCATACCAGTAAAAAAGAATTTAAAAATAAACACTACAGTACAAAAAAGAAAAAAAAACACTTATTTATTCAAAGTTTATGGCAAGAGTCAAAGTTTGAACTTGGGTCCTTTGGTTACAGTCTGGTGTAATAAAGCTTTATGTAAATAATTGTGTTTTTTTTTTCTTCTTGAGGAGAGCGAGATTGGGAGGGAGACAGAAACAGACAGAGACGAGAGTGAGAGAGGGAGAGAGAATGCATGCAAAGAAGCAGGTTGCATTTCCAATGGCTACTTTATAGGAAAGGTTCAGAGCTGAGTCTTATCTTCCAGACACTGGGCTCTAAGCGCTTGGGGGGGGGTGCCCTCTAAGGCCCCCCCCCCACCCCAAGACTTAGGACAAGGGCATTACCTCCCGGGCCCTGGCTTCCTCCATCCCTCCCTTTCGCACCCCCAGCGCCGAGAGTTGGGCCCCGCCCCCACCTGCCGCCTGAGTTCTCCAGGGGCCTGCCTGGAAAGTGCGGGGAGATGGGCTTAGCAAAGTTGGGGGGGAACTGAGGCGGCGGCAGGTATGTGGATATAAAAGCACCTGTAGTGGGAGAGAAGGGCCTGAGAGCTGGAAATGGCCTGCTTCCTACCCTGAGCGGTGGGAAGGCAGAGGTTCATTTCATTTTTTTTAACTGTTTATTGAAGTAGTGCAAAACAGTACAAACCTTAAGTGTACAGCGGAGCGAATTTTCACCAACTGAGCACACCCGTGCCACCAAGCTCCCAGACCAAAAAACATTTCCGGTCCCCCAGAAGTACCCTCGTGGCTCTTTTCAGTCCATGCCCCCTCCCCTCAAGGTCACCATCATTCTGACATCTGACTGCATAGATGGGTTTTTCCTGCCTTGCGTTTTATGTAAATGGAATCAGAAAATACATTCTCTTTAGTGTCTGGCTTTTTCCACTCAACACACTGTGAAATTCAGTCTCATTAGTGTGGGTAGTTAGCGGTCACGGGTAGTTATAGGTCATTCTCACTGCGGATTCCCTTGTGTGACTATACCCAGTTTATTTATCCACTCTCCGTTGGTAATGAGGGAGGGAGCCAAATGGAAAGAGTCCTCCAGGCAGACGGAACAGTCAGTGCAAAGGTCCTGAGGTGAGAACATGTCTGGTATTTTAGAGGAGCAACAAGGAGATCCATGTGGCTAGAGAGAAGCAAGCGGGGGGTGGGGGTGGGGTGTGGGGGGTTGGGGGGGAAATGAGGTCAGACAGGGAGAAAGAAGTAGATGATGCAGAGTCTTAGGGGCCACAGTGGTGAGTCTAGCTTTTACTCTGAGTGAAATGGAGCCAACGGAAGTTTCTGAGCAGGGGAGGGACCTGATCTGACTTGGGTATTCAGAGTTCCACTAACTGTGTGAGGGAAGAGAGCCCAGGGGCGGGGGCAGGAGGGGGAAGCCCGGGGTGGGGTTGGGAGTGGGGGGTGGAGGAGGTGGTGGTGGGGGGATGAATGGGTAGAAGCAGTGGAGGCAGCCAGAAGTGTTTATACTCAGAATACACTTTTGTGTATGTGATTAGGGATATATTTTATTGACTTCTACCATCTTTTTTTGTGATTCCGTTGTCCCCATTTTTGCTATGCATTCCATCCCCTCTCATGTAGGCTTCTTTGAAGTGGCTAGCTGCATGTTTGGCTTGGTTTTGTCTTACATTTTTTTTACTCTTTCTCTTCCCTCCACTAGTTTGCAATTTATGAATCTTTTGTATTTTTTTAGTAGTAATCCTTGCAGACCAAAGGCTGGAACTGACGGTGAGTGTTCACTGATGACCGTGTGAGCATTGGCCACCAGGGGGCACGAGCGGCTTGGGATGAGCCGGCGCGCAGTGACCGTCAGGAGGCGCGGTGGCGCTCGTCCCGTGAGCGCGGCGACCACCTGGACTGTTTCCCTCTGGACATTCCAGACGAGAATGCGTTGGTTCCCGATTTATGCCAAGGGCCTCATAGCGCCGGGGCTGAGGATTAGTGGGGGGATGTAGGCAGGATAAGGTACACCTTCCAGGCCCCAGGGGGTAGGATGAGAGGGAAGCTGGAATTCGACCTTAAAGTTTTCCAGCATTGTTGGCAACCCCCATCCCCATTCCTGGGACATTTATACTGCAAGGTGGTCATGGGAGGAAATGGGATGAACATGGGCTTCCAGGCGGAGGTGCTTGAGGGAATGAGAATATGGGAATTGCCTACGGTTGTTTGTGTGTTTTTCTTCTGTGAATGTCCAGAGTTTCAACAGATTCTCAAAGGGACCTACAACCCCAAACACAGACTGTTTGGAACCCTATCTCTTCCTCCAGGAACGCTTCCCTGATGTTCTCTCAGACTGGGTCAGGTGCCTTCTCTGGGCATCCACAGCCTCTGATCTTCCCCATCTGGGTCCTAACCCCTCTACTGGTGCTCCCACTATTCCAGAATGGATTGTCGGGGCGGCCGGGTGGCTCAGTCGGTTAAGCGGCTGCCTTCGACTTGGGTCATGATCCCGGGGTTCTGGGATTGAGCCCCACATCGGGCTCTGTGCTCAGTGCAGAGTCTGCTTCTCCTTCTGCCCCCTCCCCACCTCTCTCTCTCTCTGTCCCAAATAAGTAAAATCTTAAAAATAAATAAATAAATAAATAATAAGCCGCTAACACTAGTAGGTGGGTGACAAATGACAAGCAGAGAGACTTTTGTTCTGTTTTGTTTCAGTGCCAATGAGCCCTTCCACTCCCAACCATTCCCTGTACCCTAAGCTTATGCTTTCCCAGGCTGTATTTTGCTCTTTTTGTGGGGAGGAGAATTTTGGATTCCCCCGACCACCACCACCACCACCACCACCATCACCACGGCCAGGAAGTAGGCAGGGGTCACTGGGGTAGAAAGGTCTGTGCTCGACACTTCAGCAGCTTCCGCACGTCCCTGCACAGGCCACCCACCAGGACTGCCACTCCCAGCTCAGCCACAGCCGCCGGCTCCTAGCTGGAGGCCCAGGTCTCCGTTCATCCCTCCAGGGACTCCTGCCTCCACCACCTCCCCAAGTCCCCCTTGTCCCAGAATAGCTTTTGACTTTGGGGAGTAGGGAAATCTAGGGTCCCCTCTAGCTAAGAGGGAGCACCCTGAGCACGGCCCCACCCGGAGTGGGAGGGGATCTCTCCCGAGATTAGAGAGGAAAAAAAATAAAGACATAGACACAGAGACTATGTCCCTGTGGGGGCAGAGAAGGCGAAGCAGAAAGACAAGAGACGGAGAAAACAGAGAGAGAGAGACATAGGAGGAGAAAGGCAGAAACCAAGAGACAGACTAAGCGCCAGAGGCAACGGAAAGGAAGAGGAAGACATGGAGTCAAGGACGGGGAGAGGATGTAATTCAGTGGCTCAAAGAATAAACTCTGGAGCCGGACTTTGAGATACATAGGCAGACAGAGGCAGAAGGTACAAAATAGGTGTTTTTTAATCGAAAATTTTTATAAAAAGGAGAGGGAACGTGAAGGGGCCCGTGGGCTAGTCCCGGGGTTCCGCAGCGTCGGTAGGAGGGGCTGAGGGTGGCAGGAGCAGTGAAGGGCATCCCTCCTTCCATCGGTTAGCGCTTCGTGCGTCCCCGCCCCTCTGGCCGCCGCCCGTCAGGCACCTCCTGCTCATGCGCGCAAGCGGGCGGGAGGGTGCGCGGCAGGGCCCCGCGTGCGCAGGCGCGAAGCCAAGGCCCTGGGCCGCGGAGGCTCAGGCCCGCGGCCTGGCGGGCGTGCAGTGGTGCGGCTGGTGCGAGGGTGCGAATCCTGGGCGGCAGATACAGCGGAAGGAGCCATCGGTGTTGATGCAGCGTGCGTTGACGCAGAGCGGGGAGGCCGCCTCGGCCTCGTCACACTCATTGATGTCTGCAGAAGGGGGCACAGGGAGCGCTGCTCAGGCCTGGCGACCCCGGAGCCCGCTTGCCTGGCCCCTGGGGCTCCTGGGGCAAAGGGGTGCGAATGCTGAGCCTCCTGCTTGGAGTCGAATCCAGCCACTACCACCTGCTGGCTGTGTGAGCCTGGGCAGGTGGCTTAACCTCTCTGTGCCTCCTCAGCTTTCTGTTCTGTGAGATGGGTCACTAGGTTTTTGTTAGGAAAATAATACTGATAATGATATCACAACAACCAATGCTTACTCTATACCAGACATTGTATAAAGCACATTATGTGTATTTATCCTCCTAATAACCCTATGAGGTAGGTATCGTGATCCCGTTTACATACGGGCAAACTGAGGCCCAGCCTGGGGAAGCTCCCTGCGCAATATCACACAAGCCCCCATTCAGCCCAGCGAGTTCTCAGACCAGCTTTCAAGAGTCTCTGAGTGCCCAGGCCCCTGCTATTTCTTGGCCGTGAGTCCTTGGGAAACTCAGTCCTCTTTCTTGAGCCTTGGTTTACACAGAGGCCCCAGTGTCATTGTAAATCAGTATTGATGATGGTCACAACTCTATGAAATGGGTTCTACCACTATGCTCCTTTTTCGGATGAGAAAAACTAAAGGGCCAGTGACCTGCCCAGGGTCGCAGAGCAAGTTGCTAGACCGAGCCTGAGGTGTGTCCGACTCCCCCGGCGTCCTTGACTGTAACCACTTTGCTTTACTGCTGTGTAAACTAGGCAGCCGTGATTCATATTCCCATTCTACAGACGAGAAGACGGAAGCTCTCCAAAAGGGTCAAGCAAATTGCCCCAGCTAGCACTGGGAGTCCTTAGACATCACACCTGCAGGATTCTACAGGGTGCCTCGATCCTGCTTCAAGCCCAGCCGGGGTCCCCGAGGTCCTCGCAGCCTGACCTCACCTGCTAGCAAGCCCCATCCCTGTGCAGGAGTTCCTTCCTGCTCCCTCTGGTCTGGCCCGACCCCGTGACGTCCCTGACTCCCCCCACCCCCACCTTCCACCCCCCCCGACTCCAGTCAGGGGTCCACCCTCTCCCGGTGCGGGCTGGCCCTGGCCGCCCCTCACCGACGCAGGCCATGCGGGTCATGTCCAAGCGGTAGCCACTGAAGCAGTCGCAGGTGAAGCCCTCGGGGACGCGCACACAGCGGCCGTGGGCGCAGCCGTCCAGGATCCCGCATTCCTCCGCCTCCAGTCCCTCGTAGGGCCCAGACAGGGCCCCTGCGGAGAAGGCGGGGACTCGGTGATTGTGGTTCGGGGTCTCTGCCTTCCATCCCTTGAACCCCGACCTGGGACCGCACCCCTGGCCAGGTATCCTCTTCTAAACTGTGCGTCCAGCTCCGGGGCTGCGGGGGGCGCTTGGGGCCCGGTTTCCCTCGCTCTGCTGTCTGTCTGTCCTCATCTCTTGGTCTGCAAGTGTGTTTCGGTCCCTCTTCATCACTGCTCTCCGTCGCCCTCTCCCACTGTAACTGTGTTTTCCCATCTCTCTGAGCCAATCCCCCCCCCACCCCCACGCGCCGGCTTCTCTTTGTTTCTAGATCTAGACAACACACGAGGTCAGCTCCCACTTCCTGCCAGCACACGCCCAGGTTGTCATCTGAGGGCAGAGACAGCACGCACCAGGGTAGGACAGGTGGGATCGGGTCCTCCCAAGTGCTTGCAGCAGCCCGGCCACCCGGCGCCTAACACCAGATGCTTCTCCTCAGCTGTGATCTGCCTCTTTCTCTCCCCCTTCCCTGGCTCCATCTCTCTGCACCCCAACTCTCAGTCTCCATCCCTTGCCCTGCAGTGCTCACCAGGATGGCCTCCACCTTCAGGGGACTCCTCAGGCTCTGGGAAGGAGCCACGGGTGTCGCGGGACCGATAGCGCCAGCGGCTGGCTGGGCCAGGTGGCGCCGCAGCCTCAGATTCACTGTAGGGGCCGCCGTCGTCCTCAAAGTCGGGCATGTCGAAGGGTGGCGCTCCGTATGGGGCCTCCCGGCGGGCGAAGGGCCCAGGGGGTGGTGGGTAGGGGTCGTAGGGTAGCACGGGGGGCGGGTACAATTCCGGCCCATAGGGAAGGCCCTGGTAGGGTGGCCCTAGGTCAGGGCCATATTCGTAAGGGAGTCCAAAGCCACCTGGCCGCGGGGGACCGTATGCAGGGGGGCGCAGCACATTGCACAGGGCCTCAAAGTCATCTGTGAACAGGAGCCAAGCCTCACGGTTAGTCCTTGCTTGCCTCCGCACCCACCATTCATGTCCCCGGTGTGGAAAGAGGAGCCGGGAGGAGTGAGGAGGTCCTTGGGCTGAGGCATGGGACGGGCTCCCAAGGAGGGGGGCTGGCATGGCAGGGTCAGGATCAGGGGTTCTGGAGCCAGGATTGGAGGGCTGAGGGCTGAGACTGGGATTCCAAGGTGCTGGGGTCAAGAGTACTAAGTACTGCTGCTAGGAATCAGGGTCCAAGTGCTGGAATGGGATCTTGGACTAGGGGCCTAGTGGTCCAGGGGCTCTTGGACTAGGGGCCTAGAGAAATAAGATGGGGGGTGTTTTAGGGACCAGAGCTGGGGAGTCCCAGGTGCTACTGGGGGCCTGAGGGCCCAGGATACTTCGGAGGGGATCCGAGCCAGGGGACCTGGAGGTCTGAGGACCAAGGACCAGGGTTTGGGGCCTGGGGTTGAGTTCCCAAGAGCTAAAGATCAGGAGTCTCGGCGGTTTTAAGAGCCAAGCTTTGGGGATCTCTGGGGTCGTGTGCTGGGGTCTTAGGCACCTGGAAGTGAGTGTCCAATACACTGGGACTTGGAGGTCTATGGGCCAGGATGGTGGGGTCTGAGCAACTGGTATTTGAGGTCTAAGGGTACAGGATTTGGGAGGAGGGGTCTCATAGGCTGTCTCCGCCTCTGAGTGTGGCCCAGGCAGGTGGCAGTACCTGAGTCCTGGGCGGGGCAGAGGGCACAGTCCATGCCCCAGGCTTCGCCATAGAGGCAGCAGCACTCTGTGTAGGTGGCCTGGCGGTCCAGCCGAGGGCGACTACACACGAGGTCAGCTCCCACTTCCTGCCAGCACACTCCCAGATTGTCATCTGAGGGCAGAGACAGCACGCGTCAGGGTGGGACAGGTGGGATCGGGTCCTCCCAAGTGCTTGCAGCAGCCCGGCCACCCGGCGCCTAACACCAGATGCTTCTCCTCAGCTGTGATCTGCCTCCCAGAGGCCCTCTGAGGTAGCTCCAGGCGAGTGTGGGCTTGGTCTGAAATGAGGCAGTCATATAGGAGAAAGCAGAAGGGGTCCAGTGGCTGAGAGATAGGGTCTGAGAGGGTTCTCTCGAAGCCCAGCCTCTGAAGGGCAGTTCCTTTTCATCTCTGAGCATTGTTTGAATGAAGTCTCAGGGTGTGCGTGTTTGGAGCGGGGGGGGGGGGGGGAATGTAAGAACAGGAAGTGGAAGGAGAATAGAGTTTAGGTCAGTGGGCAAAAAGAAAGGACCCAAAGAGATGGAGACAAACACATCCCAAGGGTCAGAGACCCCAAGAAAAACAGGAAAGCAAAGATGCAGAGAGAGAGAGGTGAAAAAAAAAACAGACCTAGAGAGACCCAGCGAGTGGCAGAAATTCCAGAAAGCCCAGAGAGGTGGAAAGAGACAGAGACACACAGGGAAATCATAACAGGAAGTGCGGCTTCAGCACTTAGAAAGACCAGGTCGCGTAACGGTCCTGAAATAAACTTCCCTACAGCCACCCGCTAAGGTAGAGGCACTCGCCAGCGCATTCAGTGTGCACAAAAGAAGCCTGGGCCCCGAGGCGATGAGCAACGTGCAGGCTCCTCTGGAACCTTTGCTTTAGGGAGAACCTCGGACACCAGGCCAGGCGGCCCAGGGGAGCGTCAGACACCGCGACGAAATGGGGCGTGAGGGGGCGTGGTCGAGCGCGGGGGCGGGGACGAAGGGCGGGGCGGGCGGATCCGGGGGGCGGGGCTACCGAGGCTCTGGCTCTCGTTGGAGACGCAGCGGCGCCGGGAGCCGTCCAGCACCAGCGGGGGCTCGCACGTGCAGTGATAAGAACCCACGGTGTTGACGCAGCTGCCGCCCTCACACGCCGGCTCCTCGTCCGCGCACTCGTCATTATCTAGGGAGGCGTGGAGGAGGTGGTTAGGAAGCAGCCCTCTGTCCTTACCCACTTCCCCCCGGGGCGTTGACAGTGATAGATGGAGTCTAGACTCCAGGAAGGACTTCCTGCTGGCGGTGGCCACATTCCAGAGAGAGGCTGGTGGGGTAGAGGGTTGGGGGGGGGTGTCGTACCGATGCACTCCAGTCGCTGGGCATGGTAGTAGTAGCCGTTGCTGCAGTAACATGAGTAGCCTGGGGCCGTGTTCACGCACACGCCGCTCTTGCACACCTGGTCTCGGAAGAGCTGGCACTCATCCACGTCTGCGGAAAGGATGGTCAGAGGCGCGCCCCACACCAAGCGAGAGGGGGGCGGGCCAGGGTGTGGGGCGGCTGGATGGGGGGGGAATGTGTGGCTCCGAGGCTTGACCAGGGAAGAGAGGGACCGAAAGGTGGCGACAGAGACCCAGAGGTAGAGAGATAGGGAAAGGTGGAGGTAGAGAGACAGCGGGGTGGGGGAGACAGAAAAACAGGGAGAGATAGAGGTAAACAGACCCAGAGGGTGAGACGGAGCTGGGCCTGGGGGCTGAGGGGGAGTGGGGCTTGAAGTCTAGCCTTACCCCTCCGGAGGCTCAGGTCTCCGCTCGGTGCCAGGTAGCCCCGGCCATGGGGGCACAGTGACTGGTACTCAGCTGCACACACAGACACAAGGCTGAGCCCAGACACCCTCAACCCGGTGCCTGCCCTGGGCCCTGGGCTTACTCTTGCTCCCCTCACCACCACCCTTCATCAGCCAAGTTTTCAGGCCCCCTGCCTTTGTGCTCACCTCTCAGCCTCATGCCCACCTGGCTGGCAGCTCACCCTTGCCCTTGCAGTTCCCAGTACCCCAGCCCATGTCCAGATGTGTCTGCTGTCCCAGTCCCATGCCCCCCTCTCTCTGCCCAAACCCTCAGCCCTCCAACCACCCCGTAACCCCTTCCCACCTGTCTCGGTGCTGGGGCACTGCTGGATGCGGCAGCCGCTGCCCCAGCCCTCACCCACGGTACAGCAGCACTCTTGCCACGTCACATTCCGTGCCAGGATGTTGTCACAGGCATCCGGAGCCGCCGTGTCAAAGTAGCACTCCCGGCGCCCGCTGCCCGCAGGGCCCTGCCTGGGCGGGCTGGGCCGGCGGGGTGGGGATGGCGGAGGTGGCCGGGCCGGCAGACCTGGGCTGGCAGGTGCCTGGGGCTGTGAGCCCGGGAATGTGCCTGGGGAAGCAAGGGGCTAATTTAGCCCAGTGTGGGCTGAGCCTCCCACCCCTGTGTTACAGATGAGGAAACTGAGGCAGAACCAGACTCCACACCTCTCCCCATCTGTCCTCATCTCTCCCATTCTCACCTGCTGTTGTCTCTCCATCTCTTGCCTCCCCAATTCATACCCTCCCAGGTGTCTGGCCCATCGTCCCAGCTGCAGTTTGGGATGCGGGGGCGGGGGGCGGGGAGTGTTCTCTGGCTTCCTGGATACTTCCTGGAACCTCACATCCAGTGCATCCTAAAATGGCCTCAGAGTCTTCCCAAACCTAGTCTTGGGCCTGGACACATCTCCCCCCCTCCACCAGGCAGCCCACAGCCTGACCACTGGCCTCTTGCCTTCTGCCATCCACCCTCCCCTCCTTTCCCATGACTGCTGCCTTGGTCCAGTCCTGTCCTCTCCTGCCCGGGTCCCTGCCCCAGCTTGCTCCCTAGGGTCCCAGTCCCTGGGAGTGTCACCCACTCCAGTCCACCTTCACAGGGCAGCTGGAGGGAGGTTTTTAAATCTGATTATACCTCTCTCCCACTCAAAACCCTTCCATGGTGCCACAGTGCCCTCAGGAAAGGGAAACCTCCTGAAGATGATAAATCAGTGCCATCTGGCACTGCATCCTTCTGTGGCCTCGTTTCTCCCCACCCCTTCCCTTGCTTTGTACAGCATGCCACCCTGAACTTACTTTTGTTCCTCAAACATGTCAGGTCCTCTCTTACCTTGCCAGGCCTTTGCCTTTGCTGTATCCTCTGTCCAGGATGCCCTCCCTCACCCACTTCACCTGGCTTATTTCTACTCGTCCTACCGCTCTCCGTTCAGACCTCCCTCCCTATAGGAAGCTCTCTCTAACTTTCTCAGGCTGGAGTAGGCACCTCCTCTGGATTCCCACAATTCCCTAGCCTTGCCCCCCCCATCACAGCCGTGTTCCCTCTGACCTGGGCTTCCTCCTTCCAGCCCCGATTTCTCTGGTTGTCACTATCTGCTGATATCTCTGCCTGCCCCCTCTGGACTGTGAGCCCCTTAAAGACAGACTGGTCTCTCCTGGTCACTACTGTGTCCCTGGGACCTAGGATAAGGCCTAAACACAGTGGATGCCCTGTGAACATTTGTTGAATGAAGGAATCTGGTAGAGTCAGGGACAGGGCTGACACCGAGTCCCACCGCCCATGTTAACCCATGTGTTCTGAATTTTTTATTGTTATTTAAAACGACATTTAACTGATGGCAGCTGTCCGTGCCTGGAATGGTTAGATCACATCGTTTTTCTGTGAGCCCTGCAGCCATCAGTTAAATAGACACATCAGTCTTACCAGCAGAAGTTCGTGGGGGAACACAACGTCCAGTCATGGGGTCAAACTCCTCAGGGCTGGTGGGACAGACACAGAGGAAGGAGCCTTCAACATTCTCACATAGGGCAGCTCCACACACACCCTGTAGCGTTTCACACTCATTCACATCTGTGAGCAAGAGACAAAGGGGAGGGAGAGTCAATGGTTGTAAATGTCTGTGATTCCAAAGCTCTAAAAGTCTGAAATACCCAAATATAATGGGTATTTTTAATCACCCAGACCCCATCATTCACTTATCTTTTGGAGACAAACCCTGAATTTCCCTTGGGAGCCCTCTGTTCCTCCATTTTCAACTCATGTATTTTTGAGTAGGGTTAAATCTACTCCAAGTAGACACAAGTTCTAGGCATGGCCAACCAGATTACTGCATTTCTCTGGTTCAGAGAAATGGGTGGTGACCAAGCTGGGCCAGTCGATGCCAGTCCTGGGACTTTTGCTAGAAATATCAAGAAAGAGACCCCCTCTTTAGTTCTAGGGTTGCCAAGCTGAGGATGTTAGCCTGGAGGTGCTAGGGCCTTCTTTGTGATTGTGAAGAGTCTGCCTGAAAATAAATACAACAGAGGAAAGCAGAGCCGAGAGGGGCAGACAGCTATAGCCTTGTTAGAATCCCTGAATCCAAGTGTGCCTCAAGTTCAAACATTTTCTAGGACTCCACCGTTTTAATTTTTTTAAAAAAGACTTTTTTATTTGACAGAGAGAGACAGCGAGAGAGGGAACACAAGCAGGGCGAGTGGGAGAGGGAGAAGCAGGCTTCCCGCTGAGCAGGGAGCCCGATGCGGGGCTCGATCCCAGGACCCTGGGACCATGACCTGAGCCGAAGGCAGACACTCAATGACTGAGCCACCCAGGCGCCCCTACTATTTTAATTCTTTTCAAAGAAATAAAGCCTGTTGTGTTTGCATTTGTCAAAATTTAAAGAATATATAACTGGGGCTCCTGGGTGGCTCAGCTGGTTAAGCGTCTGACTCTTGATCTCAGCTCAGGTCTTGATCTCAGGGTCATGAGTTCAGGCCCCATGTTGGGCTCCACACTGGGCATGGAGCCTACTTAAAAAAAAAAAAAAAAAAGATATAACTAAGATTCATGCAGTTCACTGTATGTAAATTGAACCTCAAATGAAAATATCTGGAAACACCTACTAGACTCCGGCTAATGCTATGCATACTGAAGAATTTAGGGAGAAAAGTACTGATGCCTGCGATTTAATTTTAAACCCAGAGATAAGGTGGATTACAGACAGATAGGTGAAACAAGAAGTATAATAAAAGAATGATAATGGAATATAGATCATGGGCGTGTGGATGTTCATTCTATAGGTCTTTCAATTTTCTGTACCTTTAGATATTTTCCTCACAAAACGTTGGGAAAAAAGAAAATGTTTATATGCACTTAAGATTAGTGTGCATTAAAAAAAGATTAGTGTGCATTTTACATACTTTATGCATGTATTTTTTTAAGCCCTCCCAAAACGAGATCTGAATGGATAGGGTTTCTGTTGCTTACAACCAAAGGGGTCCTGACTGATATGGACATGATGTATAGTCCAAGGTCTAAGGTCCACAGGCCCAATGTGTATGTTCATATTTGTTCACAACACATGTGAACTCACATCTGTTCATGTCCGTGGAGAGGAGCAGGGCCTGACCAACCTCTTCCCCACTCCACCCCGACCCACCCACCCCCTGGAGCCCCGTACCCACGCAGTGACGCCCGTCCCTGGCCCCCTCGTATCCCTGGTCACAGAGGCACTGGAAGGAGCCGGGCAGGTTCTGGCACACGGCGTGGGCCCCGCAGAAGGACCGATTCCGGCACTCGTCCACATCTGCAACCACCAGACAGTCAGGCCCTTGCTGGACCTTCCCTCCCCTCCACATCTCACCCAAAGCCGGACGGGCACCTACCCTGGCATCCGCCCCCTGGCGTGGGCTGATAGCCAGGGTCACAGGCTGGTGTGCAGCGGTAGGAGCCAGGGGTGTTCTCACAGCGCTGGGCTCCACAAATCGCTGAGCCATATTCTTGGCACTCATCCACATCTGCAAAAAAGAGTCGGGTGGGGAGAGGGGAGGGGAGTCACAGGACTGGAGTCACAAGTTCCTGATGTTGCTCCCAGTTCCCATGACTGAGAAGTCTCTATAAATCTGGTATTCTAGGAGTCTGAGTTGCTAAAGTGTTGACACTCTTAAGGTCTCACTGCCATTTCTCACATAGTCCAAACATGGCTCCACCTCAGGGCCTTTGCACTTGCTGTTCCCTCTGTCAGGAACACTTTTCCCCTGGCTATCTGCACAGCTCCCTCTCTCACTTCACTCAAGTGAGATCAAGGCCTCCTAGCGCCCCTTCCCCCACCGCCCTGTCATCTCTGCCCATTTATCCTGCTTTATTTTCCTTCTTAAACCTAATATTATATTATCCATGCATCTGTTAGCATGCCAACTGTCACCTCCCTAGACTACAAACTCCACAATGCAGGGACTTGTGTCTGTCTTATTCCCCCCTGTAGCCCCAGGGTGTAGAACTGTGCCTGATACACAGTAAGTGTCCCCAAACTGTTTGCTGAATGAACCTTGAATCTATTTGCATATTTACTGTCTATCTCTCCCCACCCCCTCTCTATCCCCTCATCAGCACCATGAGGGCAGGGACTTTGTTTGACTCATTGCCTGTTGCACCCCCAGTGTCCGACCCACAGTAGGTGCTTAATGAGTTCTTGCATAATTAATGAATGAGGTCCCCTGACTAGGCTTCCATGGATCACAGGTCTGGCAGCCAGAGAGCCCAAGATAGCCAGCCCACAGTCATTTCATTTGCTCCCCAAATCCTCCCACCTCACCTCCACGAGAAAATGCAAGGGCACACTGGTGGCTTATTTCGACCACAGAGATAGGGACACAGTTAAGTGCATTGGTTGGGGGCTCCTTCCCTCAAGTCCAGAAGGCAGGGTGCTCCTCTTCAGTCCCCAAGGGAGCGGACTCCAGCAACTTGTCCTAGGGGCAGGGGTGGGGGAGGAGAGTAGTCTCACCGTCACAGGTGCCCTCGGGGCCCGCGTGGTAGCCAGGGTCGCAGTCTCGGACACAGCGGTAGGAGCCCGGAGAATTCTCACAACGCTGGGACCCGCACAGGGCCGGGCCCCGCTCACGACATTCGTCCACATCTGAGGAAAGAGGCAGAGCAGTCAAATGGGGGAAGCAGGGGAGGGTGGAAAGCAAAGGAGAACAGGTGAGGGAGTTAAGGAAGGGAGTGGAGAGTCAGAACGGGGGAAGGGAGGAAGCGGAGGAGAGACGAATGGGAGAGAAGGGGAGGCAGAAGGGCAGAGATCGGCGGGGGAGGCGCCTCTCACCGAGGCAGGAGGCGAGGTCTGGGCCGGCGCGATGTCCGGGAGGACAGACGCACTCGAAGGAGCCGTCGGTGTTGGTACAGATGCCGCTCTGGCAGAGGTCCTCCTCGCTGCACTCGTCCACGTCTGCGGGACGGCGTCCGAAACCGCGGCCCACCTCCGCGACTTAGCATCGCAGGCCAAGCCCCTCCGCCGCCCTTGCCCCGCCCCTCTAGCTGACACCTCCCACTCTTTTCCCCGCCCTTCTTAGGCTCCTCCTTTCCCTGCAAGCCACACCCCTCCGACGGGTTCAGGCCCCGCCCCGTCCAGTCACGGCGCAACTTACCCCGACTCCGCCCTTTCCCCCCCTCCAAACCCCGCCCCTCTCTGGCCGCCGCCAGGAGGCTCCACAATCCCGGCTTTGGCTTTGACGCTTTGAGAACTCAGTCCAAAAATTCAGACTCCGCCTTCCGCCCCCTCCTAGCCCTGATTTTCTTGGTGTAAGCCCACCCTTTCCCGGTCCAGGCCCAGCCTGGGTACGGACCAAGGCAAGAGGCTCCGCGGGGTCCGGGCCGGTAGCCGGGGGCGCAAGTGCAGGCAAAGGAGCCGTCGGTGTTGAGGCACTCGCCGTGGGGGAAACAGAAGTCGCCCTCTAGGCACTCGTTCACGTCTAGCGTACGGGAGAGATGGGGCTTAAGGAGGAGCAACTCCGCCCGCAAGCCCCACCCTCAGCCTGTTAGTCCAGCTTCCACCTCCCCAACAGGCTTTGCCCAGGAACCCAGACCCTACTCCCAGGCTCTCCCGTCCCTCTCCCCGCCCTCTCTCCCCTCTGCCCACCTGCGCAGGGCCCAGGCCGACCCGAGGGAGCACGGTAGCCCGGCTCGCAGCTGCAGCGGAAGGAGCCGTTGGTGTTGGTGCAGTGGCCGTGGGGGCCGCAGGAGGCACCCGAACTGCACTCGTCCACATCTGTGGGGACGAGGCTTTCAGAAGGGGTCTGGTCTAGGGACTCTGGAAGGATCCCCTTGGGGCCGAGGGGTCTGGAGAATTTGGTGGGTAGTGTCTCGGGTTGGATATGAAGTGAAGGCTCCGTGGCAGAAGTGGGTGGGGGAGACCAAGATTCCCTGAATCTAGGGACCATAATTGGGTGTCCTGTGGATCTGGATTTCTGGGAACTCCCTGTGCTAGGATCCTGGAGTCAGTGAGGGACTCTGGACTAGGACTGGGGTCAGAAATTAATTAGGGTAAGAGGCCAGGTATTATAAGCCAGGATCACTGGATGGCATTCTGCCAAAGCAGGGGTCAGAGTCAGTGATTGTCATCCGAGACCAATTCGGATCAGGGGTAGGAGTCAGGGTCCACAATTCGGCCCCTAGTCAGGGGTCAGGTGAGGGATCATGCACCCAATGAGGCCCCAGGGAAGGTATTCTGAGAATGGGCAGGGCCAGTGAGAGACAGGATCAAAGGCCACAGAGAGTCAGGGGTTATGGCAGGAGTTATGGCTAGGTCAAATGTCACAGTCAGGTTCAGGGGTCACAGGTCACATTCAGGGTCAAGGGACAGTCAGGATCAAAACGTTACAACTGCTAACAGGGTTATAGTGAGGGTTTATCAGCGGGGGTAATGGTTAGGGTCAAATGTCACAGTCTAGTTGAGGGTTCATGGATTACAGAACCAGAAGTCACATTCAGGGTCAAGGTTCATGGTCCAGATCAGAAACTGCAATATGGGTCAGGGGCCCATAATCTAGGTCAAGAGTCACAGTCAGACTCTGGGGTTCATGGTCCAGGGGACTAAGGTCCAGGTCAGGAGGTTATGGGCCACGTCAGGGGTCATGATGCAGGTCTAAGGTCATAGCCGGGGCTTGGTCTCACCAGTGCATCGGCCATGGTGCAGCTGGTGGCCAGGAGGACAGGCCCTGCACTGGAAGGAGCCGGGTGAGTTCACACACTCCTGCCCAGGACAGGCCAGGTGATTCTCACACTCATCCACATCTGGGGGACAGGGGAGAAGGTGGCCTTGAAGGAGCAGCCCAGAGCCCCCCTCACCGATCCACACTCCTCCCTCCCTCCCCGGCCTCACCCTCGCACTCGGAGCCGGCCGTGTTAGGTTGGAAGCCCGTGGGACAGACGCACTGGAAGCCACCTTCTGTGTTCTCACACCGGCCATAGGTGCAGGGCGGAGGGCTACGGGCACACTCATCCACATCTGGGGCAGAGGGGACCAGTGGGACTGAGAAAGGGGCCTGGACCCAATCATCCCCATTGCTATCACCGTCTACCCCAAGATTCCAGTCTGGAGGCAGTCTCCTGGACTTTGCCCAGGCTCATCCCTCCTCCCAGGAGGACAGACTCCTTCCCTGGTGCCCATTAATGGTCTCTCCAGCTGCCACGGTGAAGCTAGGGCACCACTTCCCGCGTGTTGCCCTCCCCACCTCAGGGTGGTCCCCTCCCCAGGGTTCCCACAAGCACAAGAGTACCATTCCAAAAGGGAGGAGGAATGGAGAGCACCCTCATATTTGGAGAAAGGGGAGAAGACTCTGGAGTCAAAACCTCCCCACCACCCTCTCAGTACCTCCACTCCTCTCTGCCCCTGTTCTCCTTCACCAAGCCCCATCACCCTGTCTCTCTGCCCCCCAACCATGTCTCTCTCCAGTCCCCACAGCCAGTGCGGGTGGAATGGATTGGACTCAGCCCCCTCACCTTGGCACGGGGCCCCTGGCCCTCGGGAGCGGAAGCCAGCAGGGCAGGCACAGTGGAAAGAGCCCGCCGTGTTGTCACAGCGGCCTGGCCCGCAGGGCGGTGGCTCTTGGGCACACTCATCCACATCTTCTTCACACGCTGAGCCCCGGAAGCCAGCCGGGCAAACACAGCGGAAAGAGCCGGGCAGGTTCTCACAGACCCCTCTGCCACAAAGGCCCGGGCTCTGCGTGCACTCGTCCACATCTGCCCGGGGCAAGGGGCCCAGAGTCACACCTTTATGCCCCCCAACACCCCTGCGCTCCGCTCTGCCTCCCTGACCTCCATCACTTTCCCTTTCCCCTCTCCAACATTCTGCTTCCCGGTCCCCATCACTCGGCTTCCTTGTCTGTCTCATTCTACGCTCCTCTTCCCCATTATTCAAATTCTCCATCCTCCATCCCTCTACCTTCTCAATCCCTAAGCTTCCAGTTGGCCTCCTAGAACTCTAGTCCCCATCAATTGCCCTCTTTCTGCACTGTTCTCCGTAACTCTACCCCCTTCCCCCATAACTGACATCTCCATCCTCCATCCCTCTGCTTCTCCATTATCCATGACTCAGCTTTTCTGTTTCCGATCACTTGGCCTCTCCATTCCCATGTCACTCTGTCTCTACAGCCATCAGGCTGCCAGCCTGGCTCTTAGAACCTGCGCCCCTCCCCCCCCCAGCAATCAGCCTCCCCCTGCCTCATTGCTCAGTTTCTCCATCCCTCATGACACTGCCGCTCTACCGTTCCCCCCACACCCCCTTCCCCTCTGTCCCTCCCAGTTCCTCACCCTGGCAGCCGGCTCCGTGGGGAGCAGCCTGGTACCCAGCGGGGCACACGCACAGGAAGCTGCCTGGTGTGTTCTCGCAGCGCCCGCGGTCACACGGCGGCGGCACGCGGTGGCACTCGTCCACGTCTGCAGGCACCAACCCGGAGGTTGGGACTGGGGCAGGCACTCCCCCTCACTCCCCCCCACGCCCGCCCTCAGGCGGCTCAGGGAGGATGGGAGGTGGGGAGGGCAGGGGCGGAGCCAAACTTGGGCCGGGGCCACACTGGGGCGGGAGCCAGGGGCAGTAAGAGAGCCCGGAGTGGGTAGGTTTAAGGCGTAGGCGGGGAGGGAGGGAGGAGGGCAGGTGAGAGGGGAGGACCAGACGACGACTGGGGACCCGGCCAGGGCAGAGACGGAGAGAAGAACCGCGAGGGGGGCAATTTGGGGAGGGCAGGACCAGGGCGGGAAGGGCAGCTATGGGGACCGAACAAAGGGGAGGCAGGAGAGAGGGAAGGGGCGGTGCGGGGTGAGGACGGGGCACGGGTGCGGCAGGGTGGGAATCGGGGGTCGTGGTCAGGTGGTAGGTTGAGGCCGAGGTAGGACTGGGGCGGGGCCTGGGGGAGGAATAAGGAGGGGGCGGGGCCAGGGGAGGAGCCGCGCGGGACCTGGTCCCGGAGAGAAGCCGGGCAGTCGTACAGCAAGGACCGGCCCAGACGGGCAGAGCCCGCTGGGCGCCGAAGGGGCAGTGGTGGGGCCGAAGGGAGAGCGGGAGCATCAGGAGGCGGGAGCAGGGGTGTGGGGAAGCGCGGGAGGGCGGGAACTGCTGGAGGGCGACCGGGCCAGAGGTGGGGCCTGGAGCTGGGCGGGGCGGATTTCTCACCCAGGCACTCCGCCGCCCGCGGACCCGCTCGGTAGCCCTGGCCGCACACGCAATGGAAGCTGCCTGGCGTGTTTTCACAGCGCCCGGGGGCACAGGGCGGGGGCATGCGGCGACACTCGTCCACATCTGAGGGCACGGAGGGGGCCGGTCAGGAGGCGACTGGCAGAGCCCCCGCCCCACCTCCGTCCACACCCACTGCCAGGCTCACCGATGCAGTGTGTGCCCTGCGGGCTGAGCCGGAAACCGGAGTCGCAGGCGCAGGTGTAGCCACTGGGCCGCGGGATGCACCGTCCCGGGCCGCAGACCTGGGGATTGCGCTGACACACGCCCGCAGAGGGACCTGCGGGGTCCAGACAGCCAGGGTTCCCCCATCTCTGAGTCCCCTTCATCCCAGTACAATCCCCTCAGATCCGCTGCCTAAGACACCCTCATGATGTCCCTCCCCAAGCCCAGTCTTCCGCTTCTGATCCTCCTCTCCTTTATTATGGGACGTTCTCATCAGATCCTCTGCCTGAATTCTCTTTATTGCCACCCCAAGTCTCCACTTCTGAATATTTTGCTTTCCAACCCTCTGCCCGAGATAGGTTCTTAGTGCCCTCTGCGTGAAAAGTAATTGCCTAACGTTAACTGAGCACTTACTATGTGGCAGACTCTTCAGAGACAGTTCAATGAATCCTCACAATGATCCTCACTTTACAGATGAGGAAACTGAGGCTCAGAGATGTTAAATGACTTGCCCAATTGACAGAGAACTTGAACCTAGGTCTGTCCAACACAAGCTCCTAATGTTACCCAGTACTTGACTCTCCAAACCTTTCTCTCTCCCCACCCATTCCTTAACTCCCCTGGCTGTAACATCCCTATCCTGAGATCTTCACCTTGGAGCTCCCCCCTAGAATCCCCACCTGTAATACCCCCCATCAGTGTCCCCGATTCCCTCTACTGTACCTGATTCAGGGATCTCAGGACCAGACCAGGCAGGGATGCTGGGCAGGGGAAGCTCAGGGCCCAGCCTGGCCCCAGGTGGGGGTTCTGGACGGTGGGTGGGCAGAAAGCCTGACAAAGAAGGGGTATCAGTGAATGGAGACCTGGATTTGGGTGTCCCCCCTCCTCTCTCTCCTCTTTTCCTTATGAGGCTGGGGCAGCCCCTTGGAGATGGCATCTCCTCCTCCAGAAGCCAGCTCACCTGTGGGTGGCCTAGGAGTGGAGGGTGGAGCCCGGTGGCTCAGGGACACTCGGGGTGGCTCCTGGCCCAGGGGTCTGGTGTTGTAGCGGAGGTCAGAGGCCGAGTAGTGGTAGCCAGGGCCAGCAGGGCAGATCTCCCGAAAACCCTCTGGGAACAAGAAAGGGAGGGAGAGAGGCAGAGAGAACGTGAAAGCAGGAGGAAACGAGACAAGAGGAGTCTAGACTAATCTGGCCTTGACTGGGGGCAGGGCTTGGCTTTGGGTGTGGGTCAGGGGTTTGGGTTGGATGCTGGTTTCGGGTAGTACCCTGGCCAAAGAATGCGACATCTCAGAGGCTAAAGGTGGGACCAAGAGTGTTTTTCCTTACTTGGGATAGGGGCAGGGACAAGGGTTGAGGATGGGATCTGGTTTAGTCTGTTGAAGGGTCTGGTTTTAGGCAGAAGCTAGACTGCCGGGGAGGTGTCTCAGGAAAGGGAGTGTCTGGGATGGGGCCCAAGAAGGAGCCTAGGCTGAGGGCAGGGTCTCAGGAACTCCGGACTTGGTCAAAGCTTGGGGACAAGGTTGGACAAGCAGCATATCTAAAGGGCTCGGAGTAGTCAAGGCGGGTCGTGACTCAGGGGAAGAGTCTCAGGGGTGGGTGTGGCCAAAGGTGGGGTGGGGTCCGGCCGGAGTCCAGTCTGAGGATCTCAGGGGCTGGGGGGCGTGGCCAAGGCTAGGGCCCAATCCGGATGGAGGGCTTTGAGTCTCAGGGCCCGGGGGCGGGGCCTAGAGTGGGCACCCTGTGAGTCAAGCCTAGAGATAGGCCAGGCGGGAGGCGCTCACCTGAGCCGAAGGGTGGGCAGAGCTGGCAGCCTCGACCCCAGGCTTTGCCCACGCGGCTACAGCAGCAGATCTGCTTGGTGATGTTGCGCAGAATGGGCAGGGAGCAGCCACCGTCGCGGAGCACGCGGAAGCAGGGCCCTTTGGCCTCTGAGATCACGTGCTGGGCTGGGTGTTGGGGAGAAAATTATTCAGGGCGGGCTTGGGAGTGTACAGGAAGTAGGGCATCTGGGAGACAGGAGAATGGTCCCCGGGAGGCTCTGGTGGGTGTAAAGGCCATTCAGAAGAAGTCTGAGAGGGTCTGAAGGAGAGGTGAGGGGTCTGGAGGTTTGGGGCCGGAGGAGGGAATGAGGGAATCTGAGAAGGATATCGGGGTCTGCAGAAGGTCTGGTGGTCGAGAGAGATGAAGGGATTCGGGGCCTGAGAAGAGCTGAAGAAAGTCTGAAGATCTGAAAGTATATAGACCTAAAGGTTTGAAGGGTTCTTAGAGGTGCTGAAGGTCTAGGGAGTCTGAGGATGTGTAAGAGTCTGAGACGTTCTGAGGGGAGTCTAATAAGAGTGACCGGGGGGAGTCTGGGAAGATCTGGGGGAGTCTAAGGGAATTAAGGCCCAGGGATGCTCTGGAAAGGGTCTGAGGGCTGGGAGGACAGACGGCTGGGAGGACAGACGTGGGATCCAGCCTCAGCCCCCTCTGGGTGGCTTACAGATGCAGCTGCTGCGGGACGAGTCGTGCAGGAAGCCGTCGGGGCACACGCACGTGTACCCGCCGTGCGTGTTCGCACACTCCCCGTGCTGGCAGCGCCCACCGGTCGCGCACTCATCCACATCTGCGAGGAATGCAGTGGTCTCAGGAGCGTCAGGGATGAGCTCCCTGCCAACCGGGCTCATAGTGCCAAGCCCTTCCCACTCCTGCCCCCCACCCCTCCCCCGCTCACCTTGGCAGGACCCATTAACCCTTTCAAAGCCGGTTGGACACGGTCCATCTGGGGTGCCTACTCGGTCGGAAATCCCTGTGGAGAGAAGAGAGGGGTGCGCCAGGGGCGGGCGGAGCGAAAATAGATGGGCGGGGACAAAAGAGGGATGGGCGGGATTAAAAGATGTTGGGTGTGGCCTGAGTGCAGGGTGAGCCTTAGGTAGGCGGTGGGACAGGAGGCAACGTGGGAGGTTCCAGAAATGCATGAATGGGTCCGTGGCATAAAGGTAGGGTGAGAACAGAGTAGCCAAAGTCAGAAAGTGGAGTGGATGGTCCCAGAGCGGTTTGGATAGATCTAGACTGGAAATGATCCCCACAACCGGGTAGGTGTGTGGCTAGATTTTGTGAATACGATTTGTCTATGGGCAGGGTACCAGGAGCCACGGGGTTATCACCTCTCCCCAGCTCCGAGCACCTCAGGGACGTCCTGGGGCTTACCCAGGTGCTCCGAGCATGACTGACAGTCGTGAACGCCCCAGGCCAAGCCTGCCCCTCTGCAGCACACCTCCTGAGTCCGGAGCCCGGGCAGCGGGGACGCACACTGCGGAAAAGTGTCGGGTGAGCGCGCCCCCGCGTGGTGGCACGCTCCGGGCCCCTCCCCACCCGCCTCGTCTCACTTCGCCTCCGCGGAGCTCCCGAAAGCAGTAACCGAAGCCGGAGGCATCGGAATAGCTGTCCTCGCGCGGCGCGCTCTGTGCCAGCACGGTGTAGGGAGCCGCCGCCTCCGCCCGCGCCGCCGCCTCCGCCCGCGCCACTGCCTCGGCGTCCGCCTCTTCCCAAGAGCCGGACACACGCTCCACCTGGTGCACCACCACGGACGCCTCCTGCGGGTGCTCCACGTGCACGCTCACCATGGACGCCACGCCTGGAGGGAGGCACAGAGGGGCAAAGGGGTGTCTCCCCGGGTTTTTACGGACTGGGACTAGGAATGGGGGGAAGGGCGCGCTGGAGAAGGGTACTCAGGACAAGGCAGGAAAGATGAGGGTGAGAGAAGCGGCGAGACTGGACAGATGGGTCAGAGGGGTCCCCGGCCTCACTCTCCTCACCATGCTCATCGTCGCGGTGGTTGGCCAGTGGCATGGTGTACACCGAGCGGGTGAGGCCCGGCATGGCCGGGGCCGGTGGCCGGGCGCCCGAGGAATGCAGCTGGCAGAACTTGCCAGCGAAGTCCGGGGGACAGAGGCAGCGGTCAGGCTTCACGCACACACCGCCGTTGTGACAGATCAAGGGACACAGGACTGGGGCGAGAGAGAGGCTAGGTCAGACCCTAATGTGATACTCAAAGTATCACCTCGTTGTAAGTCGCTCAGCCTTGATCTGTCTTGTGTCACCCCCCACCAACCCTGGCCACCTGCACCGGCTGGGTCCAGTAGTACAGCCCTCTGCTATAGCTCCGCCCACTGGGTCAGCTCACTACGCCTCCGCTCTTCATTCACTCTCAGGTCACTCCGCCCTTCCTCTCCGGTCCCACTTTTAGAGGCCGAGTCCAGGCGTTCCAGCCCCACCCAGACAGCGCTGTCCCCGCCCATTGGCTCGGCCCCGACCACTCTCGCTCTTTCCTTAGCAGTTAGCCCCGCCCATCTGATCTTCCGGCTGGGTGTTTAGCTACGCAGACTCGGCGCTGGTCTCTTCCATTGACTAAATCGACGTTTTGGCCACCCCTCCTGGCACCACTCCGCTCTCTCAACTCTGTCTCTCTACCATTCTAGGCACACGCACATCCCGTCTGGCCGGGTCCACGACACTCAAGCTCCGCCCACTGGTTGTGCGTCCCCTGCTAAGCTACTCGCCCACATGACCTGTTATCCGCCGGATTCTAAACCTCGCCTGTCAAGGTGTTTAACCGGCTGCCGTTAGCCCCGCCCACCTTCCTTCCCTCCCGCCGAATTCCCCCGGCTCTCCGGCTCACGCTCCTCCCGCCCCACCTCCTTGGCTATCTGGGCGTCCTAGCCCCACCCACAGCGCTTTGTCTCCGCCCACGTCCCCTCCGGCCCCGGCAGCAGAGTTCTAGCTCTGCCTTCCCGCCTCCTGTAGCCCCGGGGCGGGGCCGCGACGGGGACGCGCCTCCTCTCCCCTCTGCGCGCCCTCGCTGGGCCCCTGGCCACCTCTGGGCGGGGCACTGCCAGCTGTGCGGCGGGGTAAACAAAGAGAGGGGTGCGGCGAGGGTAGGGCGGCGGCTCCGCATTCCGGACCCTTGGGGAGCCCCGAGCCCTCTGAGCCAAAGAAGGCCGGACGTATCCTGCGAGGGCACCCCCTCCCTTTCTCCCCCGGGGCTGCAGAGAACAGCTGGAGACAGCTGTGCGGAGGGAGGAAGGGGGCAGGCGGCTGGGGCTGGGGCCGTCCAGGAAGGCGTGTGTGGGATTCTGAGCCACACACTGGAGAGAGGGAAAACATAGAGGGAGCCCCTTCTATTGGGAAGGGTAAAGAGACTGGACTCCTGGAAAGAGATCAGATAGAGTGCAGTACTCTGGGATTCAAAGATGGCTCAAGGTTTCTAGAATGGAAAGAGAGCCTAGTTCAGAGGAAACCAAAGCTCCCTTTCATTAGAAATCTGTTAAATTCTTTTGGGGAGAGTTACCTAGAAAACAGGACTCTAGTGCCTTCTAGGGGACAGCTAAGTTGAGGGTGCTGAGAATAGGGTTTACATGGAGAAATAGGATTCCCTGGGAATCCCCAGCACACAAGAGCCTCAACCGTCTGGGAAGATTCTAAGATACTGTGGATCCTCCATCCCCTCCCAGCTATTGGATTAGGTGCCCAAGTCTTTGGATTAATGGCTGCGTAGGGGGAGCACAGTGTCTGGAGAGTCTTCTTGTGAGAATCAGCTGATCAAGACCAGCTCTGGGGTTCTCTGAAGATAGATAGATCAGAAGTTCCTGGGGAGGGGGTCAGTGGGAAAAGCAGGGCTTGGAAAGATAGGAATCAGGAATCTGATGGCACTCAATTGGAAATACAAGAGAATGGTAGTCTTTTGTGGAAAGAGAATTCAGCTAGGGAGTGGAGTTATCACTGTATAGGGTTTGTAATCTGGGGTTTCTCCGGGAAGTAGGGAGGAGTAGCTGAGGGACAATACTACAGAGTTCTCTGGTGAGGGGCACAGTTTGGGGGGATTACATCAGAAGAATGGGAGGGAACTCTACTGGAGGGGCTGGTCTCTGGAGTCTGTTGATAGGGTTGGGGAAGAGGCTTAGGGTCTGAAGGCTGAGATTCTGGGCTCCCCTACTTAAGGGAGTCAGTCCAGGACTCCAGAGTGCCCTAATAAGGGTCCTTAATTGAGTAGCAGGAGAGGCTTAACTAGGAATCACGATTCCAAAATAGGAAGGGTCTCTCTGGCGGTCACGGTAATCCAGCTAGGTCTCAGGGCATTTCCCAGCCTCCTTGGGCATTCCTCCGCCTTTTTTCAGTCTGAATGCCGACCCCCCACCCAGCTCCCTTGGGGCTCCCACACCCTGGACGGGTCGATACATGGGCACGGCCAACTTCATGTCCTACGCCTGTGAAGGAATAAGGAGCTGAGGACATCGGGGTCCTGCCGGGGTCAGCCCCCCTTCACATGCCCCTCCTGTGCCTCCAGGGGCTTGGCACCCGCCTGGGCACGGCGCCTGGCACGGGCGCGTTGGGGCTGGGCCGGGAGGGAGTGTAGGAAGGAGGGAGGGAGGGGAGGAGGGAGGGAGTGGCAGCGGGCGGGGGCTCAGGCGGGAGATGAGCTCACGCCGGCCAGGGCTGGATTGGCTGGGGGCCAGGCTGGGCGAGTTCTCAGAGCCAGGGGCCCCCACTCCCCACTCCAGAGGGCCTCTGGGGTTGGGGGCAGGTAGGCCCCGACCCCGAGAGCCCGCCCATCCCTGCACCCTGGGGCCAACAGGTGGCCCGCCCTCCCCACCTCACCTGAGCGCGCGGGGGGGGCTCCCTACTGTAGGGGTGCCTGGTGCACACCCTCCTGTCCCCTCTGCCCCCCAGGGGGCGCCCCTTCCCCTAGGCCTCCTATCTGGATTTCTCTCCCACGTGCGACCTTTGCAACTCAGGGGCCCTGCAGAGACCCTCCTTCTAGGGACCCTTTCCCTCTCAGCCCTTGGGATCAACTTTCCTCACCCCAGTCCCCCTCTTCCCAGGCACTCCCATACTGGACTTTCCTAATCCCTCCCACCCAAGACACAGAAACTGGGACACCCCTCGGGGCCCCGAAACTCTCGCTTGGTCTCCAGGGACTCCTTACAGTCTCAGAATTGGGTTCCCCTTCCCCCAAGCTCCAGGCCCCTCAGTTCTGGTATCTCCCACTTTGACTCAGAGGCATGAAAGCCGGCCCCAATCCCCTCACGTGGGACGCCACAGGTCCCTGAGAACCCTCATTGCTTGCAAAATCGGGACCCTCAGGACTCAACCCCAAACGCCAGGAATTTAAGTCCCCCTTCCTTAAATACCCCAGGGATTCCCCAGCACTCGTGCACACCGAATCTGGGCTCCCTCTCCCTGGGGGACTGTCTCTCCCATCCCCGGGGACCCTCCTCCCCCTGGGAGCCCCTCCCTCGGGACCACCACCCCGCACTCACAGGCGCGGAAGCCGGGTCCCCCCGGGGCCGCCCCGCCGGGCGCGCCGCTGTCCACGCTGGTGGCGTTGCGGGGCGCGCAGGTCGGGGTACAGCGGGAGCCGGTGGGCCCATGGACGCAGCGCAGGCCGCACACGGCCGGGGTGAAGCGCACGCGGAGGCGCTCTCGGGGCCGGCCCAGCACGGGCTGCGGCCCGAGCAGCGCCAGCAGCACCAATAGCGACACCCGCGCGCCGCCCGCCATGGCTGCAGCGCCGCGCTCCGCCGCGCCGCCGCCCCAGCCCGCCCGAGGGGCCCGGCCGCGCCCGCCCGCCTGCGGGGGAGGGCGGCCGCGCCCCCGCTCAGGCCCCCCCTCCCCACCACTCCCTCCCCGGCGGCCGCGCGGGGGCGCGTGGGGCTGGGCGCGCAGCCAGAGGCGCGCAGGCTGGGCGCTAGACTCGCAGGGGGGAGGGGGGCGCCCCGTCTGCCCCCGCCTCGCACCAACAAGTGAATGGGGCCCGCAGGGGAGCGGCGGGGAAGGGAACAGGTGGGGGCGGGCCAGTTTCCCCCCAGACAGGGCTGAATCCATAAAGAGGAAAGAGCAGTGGGGGCCACATTTGGGGAGGCCGGTAAAGGCCGATTCTCCGCCCTAGACACAGAGAAAGAGGCTTCATCGGGATGTGGGGCTGTCGTGGCACATCTGGGCAGCCAGGTGGCACATCTGGGGGAGAGAAGAAGGGTCGGTGCACCTGGGCATATGAAGGAATTTGGGGTCTGGATTGTGGGCAAGACGGTGGGGGGGCACATTTGAGGATGCGGTCACATCTGGCCAGGACCCCCCACACCTGGTAGGAGAAGTCAGAATGGATAAGAGCGTACGGTGGATTGAGGCTGTGGGCGGGGGTCCTCACATCTGGCCGGATGCCCACATCTGGAAGACTTTAGGGAGAAGGGGACACATCTGGGCTGAAGGCCACAGCAGGAGGGGGACTTTAGAGTGTGGTTGAGACTAGGGGGTGTGCGAGCCCAGGGGCAGAGAGCTGGAGTGGGAGGAGGGCAGGGGGAGGGTCGGGGAAGCAGGGGGAGGCCTTTGGCTCCCAGCCGCCCCTCAATTTTGGGCATTCGGTGACCGGGCAGGCGCCAACCCGCACAATCGCTTTTGTTGTCTGGGCTAGTTCGGCTGCGCTCTCTGCCGGGACAGCGCCCCCCTCTTCGGCCGCAGGGAGCCTGGACGCCTGGCTTCCCGGCCCCACCCCCGCGGGTCAGCGCCTCTGGCCAGCGTCTGGTCCTGTCCCGGGCTCACCTCGCGCGGCCGGACGCCAGGGTCCCTAGAGGGTCGGTGTCCTGGGGGGCTGGGGGGCTGGGGGGCTGAGCTACAATGGGGGGCAGCTAGGCGGCTGCTGGACCGTGGGAACCAGACGGCTTTATCTGGCCCGGAACCCACCCCCCTGCCCCCCGGCAGAGGAAGGGCGGATGTTCTTACCCCGGGTCTGGCCGGCAGGGGCGCGCTGTGGGGGCCTCCTTCTCAGCAGTGCCCGGCCCCCCGGCCCGCGGGGCCGCCTTCGTCTCAGCAGAGCTCGGGCCTCCTGCAGCCTGGATAGGAGAGGGCAGAGGAGACAAACGAGGTTAGACGGACACCCCCTCCTCCCCCACACCCCCTCCCCCGCAGCTGGAAGGGGCCTTCCGTGCCGGGAGATCTCCCAGTAGCAGCTCTCCCCAACCGCCCCCCCCACCTCCAATCCCTTTCCGGGGACCAGACCTTGAGCGTTCTTCACAGGCTTGGGGAGAAACAGAGATGAGGAAGGGAGAGAAAGAGAGGAGAGATGACAGAGGCAGAAAGAGAGAGACAGAGAGAGTCAGAGAGACACCGAGAACAAGAGACAGGCAATGATGGGAGAAACAGAGACAGAAATGGAAAAGAACACATACAGACAGAGGGCATGGAGACAGGGCCAGAGAAATGGAGACTGAAAGATGCAGAGAATGGGGCAGGCACGAAAAGGAGAAATAGAAAAAGTGATACAAGTTGAGAGAGAGAGAGAGAGAGAGAGAGAGAGAGAGAGAAGAAGGGAGAGGAGACGCAGGGAGCAGAGAGAAAGGTGTGCGGGGAATGGTGGCGGAGCCGGGAGCTCCTGAGCCTCTGGTAGGGGAGGGATCCGCACACTCACGTCAGTGGCTGCCAGTTGAGGGACACCTGTCTCTTCCTCACGCTGGGAATGGGGCTCGGCAGCACCCGGGGCACTGGGGTCAGGCACCGCTGAGGGCCTGCGCACTTTTCCGGCGGGCAGCTCTGGACCCTGCAGGAGGCTTTGGAGACAGCCAGGGACTAAATGGAGAAGGAAGGGACCAAGTCTTTCTTTCCACCAAGTGCATCCGGCATTCCAGCTGGGATGAGGGCGGGGAAGGGAGCCCTGACCCCTCTGCTCTTACCCCCTTTCACTTCCTACCCATACCCCACCTAGAAGAACCCACCTCTGAGGCAGCGACTTCTCCTGGGCGATCGGCCTGGGCAGCACCGACAAGCAGCAAGACTATAAACAGGGGTGGAAGTCACTCAGGCCCCCAGTCCTCTAAAACTCCCAAAGGAGGGCAGTGGGGGATAGGGGAGGGAAAGCCAAGAGAAGGCTTGAGAGCACTCGAAATAGATGTTTGGTCAATCTGAGGCACTATGCTGGATGCCTCAGTTTCCCCATCTGAACTGTGGGAGGCAAATTGGCATAGACTCTCCCTGGATGAAGGTCACAGCAACCCTACTTTTATTTATTTTCTGAAGTGTTTAGTGGTAAAGTCTTATTGGTAAGGACATTTTAGAGTCTTTTTTAAAATGGTCTTTTAAAAAGACGCAAAGAGGATTTCTAAGCGCATTTCCAACCCCCCCCCCCGCCGCCCCACTGTCTGGGAATCTAGAACCCCGCCCTCCCCGCACATCCCGGTCCTTGACCCAGTCGTCATCCCGAGCATGGCCGGCAGGTGGCGCCACATCCACAGGCCTCAGCGGCTGGGGAAGGAGGTCCTCTTTTGACTGTGGGTCCAGCAGGGTGCTGAGGTGGTGGAGGATACCGAAGGAGCCACAGCCCAGAACTGGGAATCCCAAGGCCTGAGTTCTAGCCCGTTCCTGCCCTTCCACGCACTGTGTCCTGGAGCCAGCATCTCCTGGTCTTTGGGCCTCAGTTTCCCGCCTGACCAGGAGGAAGGAGTCGTTCTTCGAGAAATCTCTGCGGCCAGAGGGTCTCAGATTCTGGATAGCGGAGTCCTCAGCTCCAGCGCAAGTGCGTCGCAACCAGGGGGCCCCCCAGACAAATCCATTAGCCCCAGGCTAAGGGGGACGAGGGACGAGGACGCGCGCGCAGGCCCCGAGAGAAGGACCGTGGGGAGATGCTGTGAAGGGGACGTCGGGTGTATGGACTCTTTCCAGACGGGTGGGGCCCAGTGAGGGAGGAGAGCGCCCGGATGGGAGCCTCCGGGACCCCCGATCTTGTCGTTAGCCCTCCCGCCTTTTCTCCGGGTTAACCCCTTCCCGGCCCCGCCCCCGGCGCGGCTCGGGTTACTAAACGCATTCGCAGAGACCGAGGCGGGAGCGGAGCCCGGGGCCTTTGTAACGGAGCGCTGGGCCGCAGGGCGGGGGGTGGGGGTGCTGGGCAGACTGCTTTCTTCGATCTCGTCACCCGTAGACAGGAAGGGTGGCTATAACCCCCAAATCCATAGGAAATTTTGGATCTCTTGCCGCGAAATCACTGGTCCCTCATTCAAGCCCGGGATCCTCTAATTCTAGGAAACTAGAGCATCCCCAACCGTCATGAAATCTGAGGAACCCCCTCCGCACAAACCCCCCTGCAAGCCCCTCCGCCATCAAGCCCGAAGTCCACGTCTTCCTAAGTCATTAAGAAAATCCAAGCGTCCCTTTTAATTCATCCAGGCGTTCCCAAACCCGAGAAAACCAGGACATCTCAACCCCGCCATAGAATCCCTTCATAACCTCCGACACTCCTCTTCCTTAAGCACCCAAGAAGCTTGGGGAACCTCATCCCAGCTGGAGCGCCCCACCCATCTATCATCGTAGGAAAACTCAAAGCCCCATCCCCATATAAGCTGGGACCCTTCTCCGAAAAAAGCCCTAGAATTCCCTGGGGCCATACTGTCCATCTACTACCACACCAGCGGCGAATCCCTCGCCTCCAAATTTCAGTACTCCCCGCTTCTAAGCCCTGCAAAATAGAGGGTCCTAATAAATACAAGGTCTCTGGCTCTTTCATCCCTACCCCGAAGCACTGGGTTCGTTAGTCCCCTAAATCCGCAAGTTCTGGTGCTTCCGGACCACCAGACTTATTGGGTGGAGGGGGCACAAGGAAGAAAGGGTCGCAGCGGGGCTTACCCGGCCGGGCGGCCCGGGGTCCCCGCAACCTCGACGGCCTCGCTGGGGCTGGGGCTGGGGCTGGCGGCGAAGGCGGTGGCTGCGAAGAGCGGCAGCAGCAGCACCAGCAGAAGGGGGCGGCGGCTGCTGGGGCCAGGCCGCCGCATCGTGTCCGGCGTGGAGTCCCGCTCCAGGCGGGCCGTCTGTCCAGCGGGTCCGGCTCGGCGCGGCCCCGCCCCCCGCCCCCGCCCGAGGCCAACTCATTTTCTCCACGGTCCTAGCCGCGGCTGCGAACTTCCCGCCAATCAGAGCCCGATGCCGCCAGGGGGCGCTGCCCTCTTGGCCAATCGGAAGGCGGCAGGGGAGGGGCTAGAGGGACAGGTGCCGGGCGGGGGGCGCTGGGGCCTGGGGTTCCCAGGGCTGGAGGGGAAATCGGGAGTCCGGTACCGACTCGGGAAGAAGAAGCTGAAGAGTGGAGACGCTGGGACCCCTCCCACAGCTGGGAGGGATGCGTAGGCCGTGGGCAGGGTCCCCTAAACTAGACTCTCACGCGCAGGCCTCATCCCTCGTTCACAGTTGTGGGAGAAATTTGATCAGAATTTGCTCCCTGACTGTAAATGCTGGAAGCCCCCAGAATTGTCCACTTCCCATGCGAGAGACTTAGGATTCGGGTGTGGGGGGGAGTGCTAATCCTACAGTAGGCCCCAGGTTTGGCCCCTCTGAGGCCCCAGGCCCACTCTGTACCTTCCCAAAGGATTTCCTCTTCTCAAGGCCCTGTGCTTCACGGGTTCCAGGTCCAACAAGCAAAAGCTTGTTCCTCAGAAGGCTGTAGCCTCTGTCCCTCAGAGGACCCAGGCTCGGCCCCTGACCCACAGACTTTGCTCCGAGAGAGCTGTTCTCCTTACACCACTCTCCACCGCTGCCCCTAGAGGTTACCAGACGCCCCTTCCCTAACCTGAATCTTTAAAGATTCCCAACAGCACCCCTCCCAACTGATAGAGTTGCAGACTCTCTTTAGAGAATTCCAGTCCCCTCGCTTCCTAGGGTCCTTTACCGTCTGTCCAGGAGCCCCAAGCCTCAGGGGGCCTTAGGCCCCACCTGCACTCTCTTTAGGGAGTTCCAGGCTCCAAGCCTTGCTTACAGCCTCCCAATGCAGTAGGTCTCAAGCTCAGCTCCTACCCTTCATTATAAATTCAAGGCCCCACCCTTTTCCTCGCAATTACACATCCCACTTCTCTTTTTCTAAGGTCACCGCCCCCTGAGCTTCAGATCTGGATCCCCACTTGGCCCCTTCTCCTCTGAGTTTCAGGTCACTGCCCTTCCCACAGTGAATTCGGGCGCAGCCCCATACTTAGCATCCCAAGCCCCACCCCTTTCATGTTTGCCCCGCCCCCCGGGTTCTAGGCCCCATCCCTCCACGCAGTTTGAGTCTTAAGATTTCCAGTTCTGGATCCTTAGCTCCGCCCCCAGTGCATCACAGGCTCCACCCCCACAGGATACCAGGCCACGGGCCCTGACCATATAGGGCCCACCCTATGCTAAGAATATCAAACGATCCAGCTGACTAGTCCTCACCCCCCACTCCTGCTCCTTCTTCCAGTGGAGAGTGTGGAGGGTGGACGGGCGACCCCGTCACCCTCCCCCCCGTTACAGCGAGGCACCCTGGTAACCCACGCAGCCACACGCACACTGTTATTGCCACCTACAGCAATCCATGCCTCCATCCCACACTGACACCCAGAATCTGGGCCCACCCGCCATCCAGGGACACGCAGCCCCTTAGAGCAGTAACGATGACACTCAGGCCCCACTCGTGGGCATTCGTGGGCAGTCCTAGCATGATGATGGAGTCCCTGACTGCCCACTGAATGTGCTCTGTGTCCCTGTTTTTGTGAAGCCCCCGCAATCTGGTTAAGATGGCCCTGCAGGACAGTGTGTCCTGACAACCCCCACCCCCACCCCCGTTGCCCTCCTCCTCACCTCCTACCCTGTGGCTGGAGCATTTGCTGGGGGCGCTGCCGAAATTTCTCCCTTCTGCCTGGGATCCGGGGCATCTTCAAGGCTCGTTGCTAGGCAACAGCCTGTGGCTCACCACTACAACTTCCGGGGATGGTGTTGGCTTCCCATCCCCACTGACTTTGGAGTCCCCCGCTCCCAATCCCTCCCCGTCAGTGCCAGATCTCCCAGGGTCGTTTCTATGTCATCCCTTGGACCCTGATCTGCTCTCAACCCTTCAGAATCCCTCAGAGTGCTAGAGCCGTGGCATTCTGGAAGCTTCCTCCCATCATGTGCTCACATGCAGGGTTTTATCCCTGGTATTAACAGACAGACAAATCTCTTTAGTATTTCAGATTTTCTGATTCTCTCTCTCAGTTCTAGAGTCACCAGCACTCCAGAAACACAAGTGTTCTGGATTCCCTGGCAAGGAAAAACTATCTCAATATTCTAGATCTGGGAGCATTAAAAAACATCCCACATTCTAGATTCCTGGGCATCCCAACCCCCTCCTATGTTCTAGACTTCCTAACATTCAAACACCCCCCCAGGGTTCTGAATGTCCCAGCACGTAAAAACATTTCCAGAGTTTGAGATTCACAGGTATTCCAGAACACTCATGTTTTAGAATCACTCATCTCCCAATCATATTCTAAATTCTCTGAGAATCCAGAACCCCCTGCCATTATGGATTTCTTGGAATGCAAACAAACCCTCTAGTGATCTAGAAGAGCTGACATTCTGGAATGCCCCTATGCTCTAGATTTTCTTGTACTCCAGATTTGCTTTCTGTGTCCTATAATTAGCATTCCAGAAACTCTGGCATACAAAATATTCCTACGACTGTAGATTCATATGTATTCTAGAACACTCCCCTGTTCTAGAGTCATTGACTTCCAGGTCCTTTTGTCACGAAACCTCCAGTCTGCATTCTCTGAAATGCAGGGGAGAACCCTAATACTGTTTATCCACTAGCATTCTAGAATATTCCTGCATTCTAGATTCCCTTACATTTTGGACCCTTCTCCACTATGTTACAGAAACTGTGGCATTCCAGAAACTCTGGAATTCTCAAATTAGCAAATTCTAAAATCCCTCCTCCCGAGTCTGGCCCCCTCTCCTCTTCATCGGCCCAAGGAAAAGAGGCAGAAAACTTTCCTCAGAAGTTGCCATAGGAATAGGTGTTATTTGGGGGAAAACCTCAAGGATATTAAGCTGGAGTGAGCAGAACCTGTCCCACATAACCTCGCTGGTAGGGGCAGGAAAGGGATGAGACTGGGCAGCCAGGGGTGTGGGCAAGGTGTTGGCCGTGGCGAGGTTTAGGGTACAAACACTAAGGATGTTGCAATCGTATAGCCAACATCTGTGTTTCTGTTGACCTGCAGCCATTCATCCCTGCTTGTGGGAACAGTACCCTGATTCACCTTTCAGGGACTCCTCCTCTGGTCGGAGGGGAGGAGTGGGCTGACCTCACCTCCTGGCTTGTGAGGGCACAGGACCCTTGGAACAATGGAAGGCCTCCATCACACGGGCCACCATAGTGATTGGTTCAGGGGTGGCCATCTGACTACATTCGAGCCAGTAAGAATCAGTCGTGTGATTTTTTGTTTTGTTTTTTTTTTTTTTGGCCGCTGCTGCTAGAGAGAAAAAAAAAGTTGCTAAGGAGGTACCTGGAGTCATCTTGGCACCCAGAGGGGAAAACCTGACTGAGAATGATGCATCCCAGAGGCAAGCAAAGCCAAAAGGTGGAAAGACATTCTGCATGAGTTTTTGAATCCCTGGATCCAGCTATGCCTGAAGCCAGGGGTAAACCATTACGTTCTCTTTCTTCGCTTAAAGTGAGAGAGAACCAGATGTTCCCGAATCTATAGCCAGACATCTGGCCAGTCCCCACATCTCTCCGACCCTTTCCCTGGGGGTCCCCAAACCCTCTAGGAATGTCAGCAAGGTGTTGGCAGTGAGAACTTTATTAGGGGAGGGTGACTTTGGCTCCAGAAAAGGGGGTACAGTGGGGGCCTAGTAACAGTGACCACTCCAAGGAGGCCCTGGCCCTGAACCCAGGGCTCTGACAGGAAGCAGGGAGGCACCAGAAACCCCCTCCCGACCCTCCCCCCGGGGACCTGGGTATCCAAAGGCACCATGGCAGCTGTGTTCAGAAGGAAGTTTCATTGAGCTTCACCTTGGGGGGCGCAAGGGGAGCTCCCAGACCCACGGGGGGCCGAGGGGCTGGTGTCGGTGGCCGTCGGGGCTCTGGCCCACCCCGGACCAGTTCTTGGCAGCGTTCCACAAAGCTGCCTCCCCCACGACGCCGGGCCTCAGCCTGTGGGGGGCTCGGGCTCCCGCGCCGGCCAGACAGGGAGGTGTTGCTGGAGGCTAAGTGAAGACTGCGGTGGGGGGTTGATGAGAGTCAGTGCGGGTCATGCGGGTCATCCGGGTCATCCGAGGCAGGTGAGCAGCAAACCACCCCCCCGCCCCCACTGCACAAAGGGGAAGTGGGGTCAGGCCTACCTGGTGAGAGAGGTGCGGGGCGAGGGGCTGGGGAGAGAGCTCCTGGAGGAAGACAGCGGCGTCGGCTCACACTGCTCCAGCTGCTCCATCAGCTCTTCCTCTGTCAGGCCACCAGCTGGGGGGCAAGGAAACAGGTCAGGGGGCAAGACAAGGATCACTGGGCAAGGGACACGCGTTGTGTGCAAGGATAGAGGTCAGGATAGGAGGAAAAATGCAGAGGTCCAGGGACAGGGGTCAGATGCTAAGAGAGAGGGGTGGACAAGCAGGGGCAAGGTAGGGTTCAAAGGCAGAGGAAAGGGGTCAGAGGCCAAGGGCTTGGGGAGGGAGACTGAGGAAGGGGGTTGAGGAGAGGGGCCTGGGGGCGGGGCAGGGAGTACCAGGGGCCTGGCCGAGGCCGTCCATGGCGGTGGTCAGGTCCCACATGGCCAGGCTGCCGTTGGCCTGGCCGGTGAGCAGGTAGCGCCGGGGCCGAGAGCCAAGCCGCCGGGAGCCCTCACACTCGAGCACCGTGAAGGCAGTGGTGGGGGAGCCGTCCACCGAGCGCACGGAGCACACCCTAAGACAGAAGGGGAGGGGGTCACCCTGGCCCTAGCGCGTCTTCTCACTGGGCCTCAGACCCCACCGTTACGGCTTCCGTTCCTGCCTCTGCAACCACCACCCCAAG